CATAGATAGATATAGACATCTTTTTTCTACATGTTATCTGCATCTTTCTCTCTTTTTTTGGTCGGTCTGTCTCAGAGGTAAAGAAGGAAACGGTTGGACATGGATTATCGCTTTGTCTGATATATATATATATAATATGTCTACATACTTTCAAGTTCTCGTCCTGCATCATCACCTTCTGAAAGCACAGTACTTCGTTTTTCGCCCTTTCGGTTTGTTGCTTCTTCGTTGTTATTGTTGTTGTTGTACTTGTATGAGGTAGCGCAACCATCCTCTTTTTTCTTTGCTCTATGTGTCAACGGTGGGCCAGTTACGCTAACTGTAGTGTTAGTGTAGCGTAGTGTTAGCTTTTTAAGCTACACTACAAAAAAGTTACTGTTAGCGAAAATTTTGGGCCACTAGCACTACAGGATTTCTAAAAAAATAAAAAAAAACTTTAGTGTAGCGTTAGCTGACTGAAAAAAATCCAAACTAACACTAACCAAATCCCTTGTTAGTGGAATTGTAGCGTGGTTAGTGGGCTAAAAAGTTACACTAACTGTTAGTGTAACTTTTTGATAAGTTACACTAACTGTTAGCGTAGTGATCCCCTCAGTTACACTAACTGTTAGCGTAACTGATCAAAAAGTTACACTAACTGTTAGCGTAACTGATCAAAAAGTTACACTAACTGTTAGCGTAACTGAAAACTGAGTCATAATAATGTGTAGGGGGCTCAGATGTGATGGGAAATGGTCATCAAAAAATGATTTTCAGGTAATTACTTGGGAAAAAAGCAAGAAAAAAACCAAGCATTTATTCTGGAGCAGGACAAATCATCAACTAAAAATCAATTTTTTTTTTTTTTTTTTTGGTTAGGTATGTTTAGGAATAAATAATAAAAAGAAAAACTAACTGGAAGAATTTTTTTTCTGGCTAAGCATGATCAAGCATTAGTGATAAAAAGAGATAGTAAAAGCGTAAAAAAACACAGATGGAAAATATTCTACTGTTTCTTTTCGGAAAAATCCATGTAAGATCTAACAACTGTTTGTGCTTTTGCATAATCACCAGAAACTTGAATACCTTCTTTCAACCACATATGACTACTAACACACCTTTCAATTGTTTGTGGTTTTAATGATCCACGTCCAGTTGAACAAACATCAGCAGCTGAGGAAAAATTACGCTCAACTGCACATGAGGATGCAGAAGATGCCAAGTAGTCCTTGGCTAACGATGCAAGAACCGGATAGGTGGATGCATGATCCTGAAAAATAAAAATAAAAAAGAAAATCATAATGAGATTAATAACTTAATGCAGGTGAAAAACAAAGAGAAATTCATACCTTCCACCATAACAAAAGCGCTTTGGGACACTTCGTAGAGATTGCTGGGAGGCGATCCATGTTGTTGATATATACCTCGAGCTCTTTGTTTTCTTCTGTTGATTTTGCAGGCTTGCTGAACATTTCAAAAATGTCATCTTCTTCAACCGGAGGAGTTTTCTTTTTGACTATTTGAATATCGTCTTCCTTCTTCTTCTTCAGAACCTCCACACGCTTCACAAATTCTTTCTCCAGAAGTTTCTTGGCCACGTCCACTTTTTCAGGCCAGCAATGGGTGAATAGCCCTAATCGGAATGACGGGTGGAGCAAGGTAGCCATAATGAGAGTTTCACACTCGAGCGCCTCGTCTTGGTAGATCTCGAGTTTCTTGATCATTTTAACATACATTGGATGCATTGCGTGTCCTCGGCTGCATTTGTCCTCTTTCTTCTTCAAAGTTGAGATTGTAGAATAATAGTTCGGCAAGACAAAAGCACCTGTAGGACCATCACCCTCCATAAATTTAGTCAGGCGGTTAAAAGGCTGAAATATAAAATTCAGCATTGTAACTAGGATTTGAATATATTAATATTACACAAATTACTTACTTCTAACTCTTTATTCAATTCATTAATTGTCGCCCATTCCTTCCTTGTGAACTGAATCTCCTTAAAGTGACCGAGCTTCTTGGGATTTTCCTTGCGGCTAGATTTGGCTCTTTGATCTTGATATTTTTCATACTCAGCAAGTAGTATTGAATCGATGACCTACATTTGAGAATATTAGTAAATGTATCTGGTAGAAAAAAATAAATAACATACATCTCTGGCATCATAGGCACGAGTTCGACTTTCATATTTTATATTCCAACGAATTCCATAACCAGCAATCAAGTTCTTCAAACCTTTTCCGGCTGCTCTTCGCTCGAATTCTTGTCTCCAGACGCAAGAGCCGGTGATTTTTTTTACCACAAAGTCCAACTATGAATGTAATTTGATTGGTCAGTATGTAAAAAAATACAAGAGATAAAAAGACTCACAGCGGTAGTCAACTCATTCAAGTCATTAGAATCATTCCTATTGGCCTTTGAGGAAGATTTATTTCCATCCTTCTTCCCGTCCTTTTTTCCATCCTTCTCCCTATCCTTTGTTCCATCCTTGTTCCCGTCCTTTTTTCCATTCTTCTTCCCGTCCTTTTTCCCGTTTTCTCCTTCGTCCTCAGTGCTATCGTCATTGTCATCATCATCGTCCTCATCATCGTCATTGTCGTCGTCATCTGAGTTCTCCTTTTCATCCTCGGTACAATCACTTCTACCATTGTTTGAATCATCATCTTCATCGTCACCTTCGTTACCATCTTCGTCCTCCTCGGTTATCTTTGGCATCTTATTGGAGTAGGGGAAAGAACCTAAGAATGCTTTCTTCAATTTCGGTGGTGGCGGTGATTCGAGACCCAATTCCTTCAAACCAGCGTTCACAACAAGAGCCATTTTATGACAAAAACACTTAATATGCATTGTCTTAGGGTCCCATTCGAAATCGGTGTTTTCTCCCAGATCAAGCAGTTTTTCGTGCATTGTTTCAGCCATGGTCATGTTATTTGATCCAGAATCGGTGGTCTGACAAAGCATGTATATATGAGAAGAAGACAAATTAGTTTTTCCCTTTGATTATGAAAATGGATCACAAGTTGAGATTACTTATCTTATTGATGAGTTGATGCTTCTTCAATATGTTTATAATTGGTTCGGCTAAATATCTCCCTTGATGTAACCAGGAAACCAACTTGATGCTCAGATGAAGCACCACGTAATTCCAATCATTATCGATAAAAGATACTGATACACCAATGAATCCATAGCGATTTCCTTTGGTTGTCCATACATCATGTATTAAAAAAAATTGCTATTGGCTGCCTGAGGGTAAATAAGATGAAAAATGTAAGTAAATCATTCTGAATGATTATTAGGAATAGACTACTTACTTTTAAGCGATAAAGCATTGCCTCTTGCAATTCCAAATACGCCTTTCTGGCCCCGGTTGCTGCCCATTTTTGTTTGAAGAGTATTGCAGCTGGTTCACAGTAATTAAACGCCGCTTTAAGGTATGGATCTTCCACTTGATTCCAAGGTATCAACTGAAGTAAGAGCCACAAAACTATGATTTGGTTTAAGATAGTTTTGTCAAACTTTTCCACTCTGGCAAAATGAGTCGTTAGGTCTCCATTTCCATTCTTCTTCTTTTTTTTTTCTTCAAGGGAGGTAGGTGGAAGTTTCGCTCCAGCGGCAATAGCTTTGGCACGATTTGGACATCCATCCGAGACCCGTCCACTTTGACGAGAACCATCACGGTGCACACGAAGATTCGAAAGACTAGACGCTGAAACCCTGACTTCTTTCTTGCACCACAAACAGCTATAGGTTGACGCAGGTTTATTGGCCGGCTCAAAAAATTGAAAAAAAGGAAAAGAAAAAATCAATTTTGATTCATTGACAGATTTATATGATATTGTTTAGACTTACATCATCTTTACGACGAAACGGTTCTGAAAAAAAAACTTTGACGTCATCCTCTTCTGGATTTTTTCGTTGGCGTTTCTTGACTTTAGAATTTTCTTCGTCAGAGTCTTGAGCAAGATCAACGTCCTTGGCAGTAGTGTTTGATTCAGAATTTGCAGCAGCTGGGCCTGTTTTTTTGGGTTTCTTGGGAGCTTTCTTGCGTGTTTGCTGAGACTGAACAGGAGTAGCTTGAGGGGTTGAATCTGAATCAGAGGGTGCATTGGTTTGGTTTCTGGGTTGACTACTGGTTCCAATGGATGTTCTTTCTGACAGAAGTGGCTGGGTGATTGATTGACAGGAATCAGGTGAAGGTTGAATCATTCCAGATTGCTTCATGGGGGTAGTGACTCTTGAGGATCGACGGGTTTGCACCTCTGTGACATTGCTTACATTGCCAGACTGGTTTGACACGGAAGATTGGGTTGGTTGGCTCGACATGTTGACCTAGATTTTGCACTCGGTGGTTTTTCTTGGGGTAAGCGGGTTGATTGACTGATTGCAGTTGGCTGTGACAGTGGTTGTTGTTTGGGTAAGTGAGTCGATCGTTGGATCAGAGTTGGCTGTGACGTGTCAGGTCCAGCTGGCTTGTGCGGCCCTCACTTGTTTTTTCTCACCCGAAAAAATTTTCACCCCCCGGGGACCACATCACATGCACCCTGCCCCAGCTGGGTGCGTCCCACAAACAGACCAGTGGAGACTCATCACTCACAAGAAAAACCAAACTGCCAATCAACAAAAACTCAAAGAATAGAGAATTAAAAAGTTCTAACAGTGGAAAAAAACATAAAATGCAACAATAACAAAAGAACAAAATGAAAAAATATAAAAATCCAAACATAAATGATAAAAGAAAACAAAAACCAAAATAACAAAAGGAACAACTGGCCAATTACCTAATAGAAAAAAAACAAAAACAGCAAAAAATATTGGGAAAGGCCGGTGCAAGCATTCACAAGCAAATTGTGAATCAAAAAAATCTAAAATAACAAAATGATACCACATCTGTACCCCTTTCAGAATCTCAATCCTATTGTTTAATAATTATTATATCAGCATACACACATCTCTCTCACCCTGCTTTTTCAACCTTAATCCAAAATCTATATTATTTCATCAAACTCCAACATATGGAGGTACTGAACCGCCACTTTGGCCCAAAAAAAATTAAAAATTAAAAAAAATAAAAAATGAAAAAAAATGAAAAAAAATGAATCATCAGCCAATTTGGCCATAAAGTCTCCCATTGATGACCATTTATGACACTGGTCATCATGGGAGGA